CCTTAACCTCATCACAGGTCAGGTACCTTCACCTTAAATGGGACTAAAATAACTTTCTTACAGTGTTCTTTTGAGGATCTAGTTTGTAGCGATGGTTCAAAAGTGGTAGCTGTGTTGCAAAATAAAGCACTGAGCTTTTAAGATTTTCTATGTGCCCGGTTCCTACCATTTCTAAGTTTATCCCTCACTAATGCCCTTCAACAAATATTCCTCCCTCTGGGGTTCGCCTTCTCTCCTCTAGTCTAGCATTCCTCCAAGGGTGGTTCTTAGACTCTCTGCACCAGATTCAACTGACGTGAGCTTAAAATTCAATTCTTTAGTGCCATCTTCGGCCCTGTTAATCAGAATTTCTCTGAATGGATCTCTACTGTTACGACTTTTAACAGGCTCCCCGGGCAATACTCGCAAATACCAATGACAGAGTCGCACTGCTCTGTCTATAACGATACGTTCTCTGTGCCTGACATTCCTTCCAGCTCTCATATCTGTCACCCGAATCCCACCAATAATTCAAAGGCCGACTTAAATTTATCCCCCTTCATAAAACCATTCCAGATTCCTCCCTCCAGAAATAATCTGTCCCTGCTTTGAATTATCATGGTACTTATTTATATACATGACAACTCTCCCGAACATTTTCAGGCTTCTTGAGGTGAGAGTCACTATGTAATTCATATTAATATTTCCCAGAGTTATCTATCCCAGGGCCTTGCATAGAGTAGATAATCAGTGAAAGTGAATCAAATGGGCAGGATGGAGTCCAATCCCAATATTTTCAGATCATCTTTACAAACCACATGTATTGAGCAATAACTGACTCATTTAAGGAACAGAAGGAGGGAAGTTGACCAAGCAGACTTTATTCCCTTTCTCTCTCCTCCCCTTCTCTCTGATTCTGCTACCTCACCATCCAGGATCACCCCTCAATTCCTTAGTCCGAGTCTTGCAAATGGGGGGAATGGATGGAAACTCTTCATTACTTCCCTTTAGCACAGTGGAGACTTGCTGACAAAGTTAGGTATTTCTCTGTGTATTTAAGAGTAAGCAACAAGGAAACCAACATAACAATCATAAACCATGTAAAAATATCAAGTTGCCCTGGTTCTAGTTTAGCCCAAAGGGCTGAAATAATTTCTCCAGCATCTTGGCCAGCTTCTGGCTCCATGAGCTCTGCAGGTTGGTTGCTGTTCTCATTACTGCTAAGCAAAAACTAATCACTCACTCATTTGCTCCCTTCTTAAAGTACTCCCAGTACTTTCGCTCCTATGTATTAGCTCGGGCTCTATAACAAAATACCATGGATGGGGTGACTTAAATAACAACCATTTATTTCTCAGAGTTCTGGAGGTTGGAAGTCTGAGATTAGGGTGCCAGCAGGGTTCGGTTCTTGGTGAGGGCCCTCTTCTGGTTGAAAGGGTCCTGGGTACCTCACTATATCCTCCTTACATGACAAAGGGCGGGGAGAGGGAGAGAGAGAGAGAGAGAGAGAGAGAGAGAGAGAGAGAGAGAGAGAGAGAGAGAGCGCGAGCACGCAAGCGAGCTTGGGATTATTTCTCTCCGATCTCTTCTCATAAGGGCACCAAGTCCATTCACAGGGGCTCTACTGTCATGACCTAATTACTTCCCAAAAGCCCACCTTCAAATACTATCACACTGCAGAGCTGGACTTCAACAAATGAGTTTGGGGAGAGTGGGGGACGCACGCATTTAGTTCATAACACCCACCCACCCATGTTCTCTGTATATCTCATCCTGGATTTTGTTGAAGGTGGCACACCTTATCCCTAGGCAGTGGCAAGCAAGATGACACCAACTATGCCAATGTAATCTCAGACCTACTAGTGTAATCACATTGCAATAAAGCAAGAACAATTGTATTCATTTCCTATCCACATTTATCTCACTCACTATGGTCCAACCATGTCGCTAACCCTGTCATTCTTCGAACACGCCAAGTTCTTTCCCACCTCAAGCCTTTACATGGGCCATTTCCTCTGCCTGCTATGCTCTTCCCCTATTCATATGAATATGTGAAGCTTTTCTTTAAAAATAATTTTTCCTTTAAGCCTCAGCTTAAATAGAATGTGCAACGGGGGCTTCTTAGAATGTACCACAATCCTAGAACATACCACAATTTGTCTATTCATTTCTTTATTTGCTTAGTCCTAGTCTGCCTTTCCAGAAATGATAAAAAACTAAACAAGGTCAAGAATTGTGTCCACAAGAATTATTTGCCATTCTTGACATACAGTAGCTGCTCAAAAAATATTTGTTGACTGATATAATAATTGCACAATATATAATCACAAGGAAAGATCATGTAATAAAATATATCAGATCTTTTGTTCACATACAATTTTACAATCAGGAAATATTTTTTATTTAATTTTATAACAATATAAGATTTTAACATTAGCTCTATAATTTATTTTGCTGATAAAAGAAATAGGTCCTTCTCATTATCCTGGAATATGATTTACCATAATACATATCCTATAGACTCTGAATAATAAATCTCATTTCTCTCAATGGAACTCACCTCCTAGGGACTAAAAGTTGACATCCTTATGAGACATCAACAAAAAAGAGACAATTTAAAGAAGCAGATGTGGCTATTTTTGAAGAAAAAAAAAAAATCTACGTTCTGTTTTAACTTTGCAAGTCTGAAGAATTCTTCCATGACAATACACTGAGAACTACTTCATGAAAATAAATAGCCACAGAGGAATATGGATTTAATTGCATGAATTGCTGCATTAGCTAAAATAAAACAGCTGTGATCACATTCTGGGGTAAAAACCATTGTTCAACAAAGAGTTCTGTTAAAGATAGCCCCAGTGATGAGTCTGGCTTTCTAAAATCAGGCATACAACTTCCTGGACCACCCATTGTTCTTAAGGTAATAGTGATTCCGATTTGGGGGGCATGTGGGTTGTACAAATGTCTGTGCCATAGGATACAGGACTGCTTGATAGATTTTTCTCTTTCCCCCAAATACACAGCTCAAGTTACTTAAAATTACTCGGCAAAACAAATTCCTTTCATATTTCTATAATCCCAAGGCACAGGAAAGGTGCTGGGCTGGCAGCTGGGGCTTTCAGAGTTCCGATTGACTACAAGATGAAACTAGAAGCAGACTTTGTCCAAGCTCTTTCTAAGGAATCTTTGTGAGCAGACCTTGGTCCCTGAGAAAATGAGTCTTCAGAGTGGTGATATTTGATATTTCTCAAGATCGGAAACCACCTTGAGATAATGCTACAGCCTAGAAAATGCCACAGAAAATTCATATATATGTTTTTAACACAAAGTTTGAAGTCTAGCCTCCAGAAGCTCTGTAAACACTCTAAAATTATCCATGGACCACAAACTCAGAACTCTTATTCTAAAATGCTGAAGCAGGGCTTGAGATGGGAAAAGCCCAGAATTCAAAGAGTTTTTTTCACCAACCACCGTCATGTATCTACTTTAAATAGCTCTGCCACATACCCGTCTCACCTCTAACACTTCCACTGGACCATCTGCACACTTTGAAACATGCAATCACTATCAAAGCAAGCAGATAAGTGGAAAGTTTGAGAAAAGAGAAGCAAAAGGGCTTTTGAGCAGAAGCTCAAATTTCTAAATTTCGAATATTCTGGCCAATTCTACATTCCTAAGCTTCTGTTCCACTGACTTCACAAGCCAGTTATTATCAAAGTTAAGTGTACCTAAACGTCAGCCTGGGAAGGTTACCTTAAAATGAGATAATCATGTTAAGTGAAATAAGGCAGACAGAAAAAGTTGAAAACCACATGACATCACTTATATGTAGGATATAAATCTAAAAGCAACAATCAGGACAAACAAACAGAGATTCATGGACATGGTCAAAATAGACTAGTGACTACCAGAGGGTAGGATAGAGGGGGAGAGGAGAGGTAGATGGGGTAAAAGGGGTCAAATCTGTGGTGACAGAAAGAAATCTAACTGTGGGAGATGAACATACAATGCAATATATATACACCTTACTGTTGAATGGTACACCTGAAATCTACTGGATTTCATTAACCAATGTCACCATAATAAAAATAAATAAAAATAAATTTTTAAAAAGTGCAGATTTCTAAGTCTCAACTGGCTTCTGATTCAAAAGGGTTCTATGGTTTTTATTAAACACCCAGGCGATTCTGAAGTAGGTGGTCACTTAACCGCGCTTGCTATGCCACTATTTCCTTCTCATCTACACCCCTTTTTAGGGAAGCTTTCAGGAAGGAGATGGAGTGAGAGGTTTCCAGATGACTCAGTGA